CCGAAACGTCAGCTTGCCTGCTCCTCTGATGCTGCTTGGCCTGCTGTGTTCATCCAGCTCTACACCTTGTTATCTCACTGGCTATAGACTGCAATGTTCCAAGGCAATCATTTTTGAAGAAGGGTCCCAACCCAAAACGTCAACTTTCCTGCTCCTCTGATGCTGCCTGGCCTGATGTGTCCCTCCAGCTTCACACTTTGTTATCTCTGACCCCAGCATTGATAATTCTTACTATCTCTGAATCAATAGCCATGACTGAGTTTACTGTGGACTTCCAGAATGCAGTATGCAAGACAGCAAGCGGTCAATAATACAAAGTCATAGTTTCATTCAGCATGGAAACATATCTGTCAGTATAATTTGGCCATGCTGACCAGATATCCTAAACTGATGTAGTCCCATTTGCCAGCATTTGGTCCACATCCCTCTAAACTCTTCCTATTCATATACCTATCCAGAAGCCTTTTAAATTTTGCAATTGTACCAGCCTCCACTGATTCCTGTGGCAGCTTTTTCCATACAATCACCAAACTCTGCTTGAAAAAGTTACCCCCACCAACCCTTTTAAATCTTACCTCTTTCACCTTAAACATCGACCCTCTAGTTTTTGGACTCCCCTACTTTGGGAAAAAAGACCTTGGTTATTCACCATATCCATGCCCCTCATGATTTTATAAACCTTTATAAGGTCACCCCTCAGCGTCCGACGCTCCAGGGACAAAAACCCCAGCCTATTCAGCCCCTCCCTCTCGTTCAAACCCTCCAATCCCAGCAACATCCTCATCAATCTTTTTTGAACTGCTTCAAGTTTAACACCATCTTTCTGTCAGCAGGGAGACCAAAATTGAATGCAGTGTTCTAAAAGTGGCCTAACCAGTGTCCAGCACAGCACAACGTGACAGCCTAATTCGTGTATTCAATGCATCAACCGTTGAAGGTAAGCATGCCAAATGTCTTCTTCATCAGTGACCATACACCTGGCCAAATGGTCAATCAAAAGATATTTGATCCAATCCATTTGAAACACCTTATTTCCCACTATTTTCATTCATCAGTTACGTCATACAAGGTTCATTGCATTACTCCCGAAAGCTGAGCAAACACACAAACCAGACTGTTACTTTATTCAGGTGAGAATATAATCCAGGCCAACCAGCAAGCTCCTCGAGGAACTTAGAGGCCATTGATTGGAATTGAGGGTTGCAGACATCAACCCCCTTCCTCCCAATTACAAACCTCTCTGCATACTTTTGCCAATTGGAGGGACAGGGATCTGTCTTGGGAATCTGGCACTGTGCCCAACATTTAAATAACATGAAAGATCCCTCCATCACTCAGATATGAATCCACACTCACTGCATGTCCCATTCATGGCACCTCATGCCCTTAACTGAACCTCTTGCCTCTCACAGATCCTTGCCAAGTTATGTTTCTTTACCCACATCCCACCCCATTATGTAACCTTCATGTCAAGCTATGCCCCACTAGTTACCTGCTCTCTAGGTCCCAACTTATGCCAACATGCCCAAGCTTTTTCCCATGCATTCTAATTCATCCAGTATGCATCATGGGCAGACATCAAAACTCATGCCGAGACTAATTAAAATTAAGAAAAAAAGCACTAATTTATTGAAAACATTTACAACATTGACTTTCCTTAAACAAGATGAGGCATTATGTTTCATTCAAGTGCATTATACACTGGAATTCAAAGTCTCACATCAAAGTGCCCAAAACTGCTTGTCAATATTAATCAAACTGCAAAGTGGAAGGCACACACTCTTACAAAGGGTGGTTGTGAAACCAGTCATGCAGCGGCAATTCAAAAATTGAAATTTTCAGGCCTATGTCAACAGGCAGAGTAACAGCAAGCATTCTTTCCTTTTTATTGGCAGGTTCCTCTGACAGGTCTATCTAACAGTTTTGACAGGTCATGTTGAAAGGTGCTCCAGCTAGTTTTGACAGCTGATTTTGACAGGTCTGTTGTCAGTTTTAATGAGCTTGATAGTAAAGTGCTTATCCACTTTATACACACGTGTGCCTATATTTAACAATCCCAAATGGAACCTAAGCTTCATCAAAGGCAAGTGACCACCCGATAGTTTCCCTGCGATCGCATTCAATAGGGAACTGTTCCTCTCCATCGGGTACCCTCATTATCCAAACTAATGCACAAATTTCAAAACTTCTCCGAGCAAGTCTAGTCAGTAAACAAGTTTCACACTGAAAAGCTGGCAAACCAGGCAGTGGATGATCTAAATCACAGAAGAGTTACGGTGCAGAAAGAGCCTATTTGGCCCATCATGCTTGCACCAACTGGGTAAATGAACATCATGATCTAGTTCCAATCTTCTACT